CATAAAATGTCGGATATGTAGAATATGTAGAATAGTGAAGGAAAGTAATGAGGGAGAGAGGGGGAGTCCATGGACATATATAGTAGACGGGTAACATTAACGAAGCATAGTTTCTCTAAAGTTATCTTCGGACAAACGAATAAAGTGTTTCGTGAAGGAAGAATTTCATTTTTGTGATATTCGATATCATAATCACTTTGATCATAATGTGCGAAGTAAGGATAAAGAGTTTTGTCGATTTTTTTCCATAGTTTTTCTATTTTTTTCATTTTTTCTTTTTTGTTATTATTCATATATCCAATATAATAATTGTTAATTATTTTTGAAATATAATACACTATTTTATTACTAGTTCAGAAGGTGTGTATATATTTTTTGTGATGCAGATTTATAGAGTCCGATTTTTGAAAATTGAATGCGATGTAATTTATTAAATTTTTATATTAATAATGATAAAACTACGTAAAACAGAAATTATTAGATATTTTTAATTAAACGAGAAAAGAAAATTTTTATTATTTATACATATTTTCGTAATATATTATAAATGTATTTAATTAGAAAATTTAAATAGAAATTTTTATTTTTAATAAAATTAAATAAAAATTATATATAATTTTATATTTAAACGATTAAACAATTTTTAAAAAATATTTTGATTCTCTTTTTCTTTTATATTTTATTATATTTTATATATTATATAATACTAATTTTTGATGTTACGTAATACGAGGAAGATCTTAGTTATATCACGAAGATAAAGTTACAATAAATTATTTTTAATGATCAATTTGATATCAATCTTTTTTCATTTCATTTATTCAAAACTTTAGAGATAAATATATAATTGTTTTTTTTTATTGATTAATAAGATTTAATAAAATTTGTTTACGAAAAATTCTTTCGAAATTATATTCGAAATTAATGATGATTACAGATGAAGAGAAATATACAAAATATCTATAAAATTTCATTATTTTGTATTTTTTAAAATAAACTATATAATTATCTCACAAAATTGGAGATAATTGAATTAGCTTAATTGAAGTAATAACGTTATAAAAATAATACAAAAATATTTTATTAATATTATATGACTATTTTCAAAAGCCTAAACTAGTGCATGGAGGAAATTACATCAAGGAAGGCAGGGATTCTGCAAAAAGTACTTGCCTGATATTCTCACCTAAAGAAGAGGATTCAGTTGGAGCATTAGCCAGATATCTCAAACTTTTTACAGTAAGTACATCAAGTACTTACGTACAAAACCGTTATAAACAGATGAGATTTTTTTCTTCGGTTACAAAATTTTAAAACGGAGGAATTTTAAAATTAATTTTTCATTTTATTTAAAAAATGAACAGATGGTCAAAATAAAATAGAACGCATAAAAATTAAGATAATCATATTTCGTTCTTCGAATGAGACGAAAATAATCAATGCCACTGAAAATTAAAATTATTTAATAAAGGCGATAATGTCACGTTTCAAAGTTTCGATCGCTCGACTCCTTTCGCAATAATCTTAACTGGCCATCACATTTGCAGGAATATGAAGTTAATTTATTGCATATCGAATCCAGAAGTTCCCTTCGCCAGCCCAACGTGTACGAGTTTATGGTAGAGTGCGCGCCAGATGGAGACCTTGGATCGGTGATCGAGAAGCTTCGAGAACAATGCAGTTACTTCTCGATCATTTCCAGGTATTTTTATACGGAATTATGATTAGATACGTGAAACGCGGAAATAGAAAATATCTTATTATTATGAATTTTACAACTTTTTGCTGCTCGTATCTATAGAAATTATAACGACAATATGGGAACTGTACCATGGTTTCCACGAAGAATAAGGGATTTGGACAAATTTGCGAATCAAATTCTCTCCTATGGAGCGGAGTTGGACAGCGATCATCCTGGATTCACCGATCCGGTTTATCGACAACGGCGTAAATACTTCGCCGACATTGCTTACAATTACAAACAGTAAGTTTCGTTTTTTGAAGATTATTCAATATTCAAAATTCTCGTAATGAAGAATTATTAAAAATATATATATATTTTTATCTCAAGAAACGTTAACGAACACTCACAAACAAAGATTACGAATATTATTATATTATTAGTGGCCAACCAATACCAAGAGTAGAATACACGAAAGAAGAGGTCGAGACATGGGGTACGGTGTTTAGAAACTTAACAAAGCTTTATCCCAAGTATGCCTGCAAAGAGCATAATCACGTGTTCCCTCTTCTGATTGAGAATTGTGGCTATAGAGAGGACAATATTCCCCAATTAGAAGACATATCAAACTTTTTGAAAGGTATTAATTATTTCATAAAATGAAAAATAATAATTTCTAGCATTTTACTATATATTATACTATATTATCTTTATTTTATGATATTCTTATATTTTTGCTTAGACTGTACCGGTTTTACTCTCAGGCCAGTTGCTGGTCTCCTTTCTTCGCGAGATTTTCTTGCGGGTCTGGCTTTTCGAGTATTTCATTCCACGCAATACATTAGGCACAGCAGCAAGCCATTATACACACCTGAACCAGATATATGCCACGAAGTATTAGGTCACGTGCCTCTCTTTGCCGATCCATCGTTCGCACAATTTTGTCAAGTGGTTGGATTGGCTTCTCTCGGTGCTCCTGATGAATACATCGAGAAATTAGCCACGGTAATAATTACGAACATGATTAACTCATTTTGAAATAGGATAAATTTTGTATATTAATCGATACTTTCTCTTTTTAATTGCGTCCTATTTATTAATTACATTTTTATTTGTCAAACTATTGATTGGGATTCAGGGGATTATTTTTATATTTAAATATTTTTCAAAGTTAGTTATGTACTTGTCTTCGTCAAATTCTGATTACACTTCTATATTTAATTTTTCTCAATATTTTGTACTTTACAATAGCACATCATAGGAATGAGGAAAAAATTTATTTCAGTGCTTCTGGTTTACGGTTGAATACGGTCTATGTCGGCAAAATGGCGAATTGAAAGCATACGGTGCTGGATTACTTTCGTCTTTTGGCGAACTCGAGTATTGTTTGAGCGGTAAACCAGAATTACGACCGTTCGAACCGGCGAACACAGCTTTGCAAAAATATCCAATAACCGAATATCAACCTGTCTATTTCGTCGCTGAAAATTTCGAAGACGCTAAACAAAAAATGATGTGAGTACAGAAGATATACATAGAATTAGAACGATCTTATTTTTCAGCTATGATGATTATTTTTATCGTCTATGAGTGTTTGTGTTAAATGTTAGATGATACGATAAAACGATGTTACTATTATTAAATTTTGCACGTAATTGCAATTTGTCAGATTATTATATTATTCTAATCGTAAATAATTTTAATTATTCCAAAATAGGAAGTTACATAGGATTTATAATTTATATTATAACGCAACATAAATAGATAAGAATTATGATAAATCATATAAATAATAATTAATAAATGTTCAAGTGTTAAATAAGAGTTAAGTAAGAGTTAAATGTTAATTTATTATCATTTACATTTTGATAACGAAAGAAGTTTGCAACATCATTTAAAAAAAATTTAATTTTTATTTTTATTTTATCAGATGTATCAATTTTTTTGATACTATAAAAAATTATGATGTATTTTAAATTGTGTATAATCGATCAAATTATAATAAAAATTTTAATCAGTTTTAAAATATATTAAAATAAGATGCAATTGCTTATACTTTCTCAATAACTCAATATATAATTTTTACGTAATTATTCTACGTATTTCGAATACATTTTATCACAAATATAAATATTATGTTAAAATATAATATTTCAATTGAATCGATAATTATGTTAATAATGATAAAACAATATTTTATCCATCCTTCATACAAAATATTAAACAAAATAAAAATTTTTTTATTATAATTTTAGTTTTTTTTTTCAGAAAATGTTTGTCTATTTTTTTTCTTCTTAATTAGAATATTGTTATATAATCAATTGAAGCATTGGTTGAGATTTATTTTTTATAAAGATTGGTCTGTTTTAAGAATTATAACTTGTTTTTTTGAATTTTATTACAAGTTGTTAAACAACATTTTTTTTTTATTCAAACTTATCAAATAAAAATAATATTTTTCTTTTGATTTACAATTTTTATTTTTGATTCCAGAAAATTCACCGAGACTATACCAAAATCATTTGCGGTGAGATATGACTCGTATACTCAAAGCATTAATATAATCGACAGCAAAAATCAAATCGAGAGCCTCGTGTACAACGTGAATCAAGAAGTACAAATTTTGATGGACGCTTTGAGAAAATTTAAACGATAATTTTTATACGATTTTTTTTATTTTATCCATTATTCAGTATATTAATACAGTATAATACAGTATATTAATGTATTATGTAGGATATTATTATAACATAACTTAGAAGAAGTTGAATTAAAAGTTTAATGATAATAAGTACTTAATAATTTTTTAGAAGAAACAATGAAAAAAAAATATTTTTATATTTTAAATAATAAGTAATAAATTAGTTTTCATGATTAATTTCTATATTATTTTTGTGATTTAATTGATTGATTCTTAAGATTAATAAAAAAATTGATCAATAAACAATTGATTTAACCGATTGATAAAATTTAATATCTATTTATTCTCAATCAATAATATAGATATCTTGATATTTAGGAATATTTTTCGAAATAAATCATAAATTTAATTTTATAGTAAATTAAAGTGGAAATAAAAATGGAGAAAATTATAGAAATATACGAAATTCGATAAAATAAAGATTTCCTTACAAATAAACGATAAAAATGAAAAATAATATAATATAAAAATTTTAGTTTGATTTTTAGAAAATTCATATTTTGTACTAACATTATTTCATTTCTCTTTTAAAATTATATAAGAAATACTTATATTTAATGAAATATTTAATATAAAAAAAAATTACAAAATGAATAAGAATAAGTAATAATTTCAAGATTTTAGGAATTTTTATTTGCATATTAGATAAGTATATATTTTTATATTAAATTTTTATATTATCATATACAATCATTTTTGCAGGAAAAGTTATTGTCTTAATATGTAATAATCATAGCCAGACACATTCATTATGACATGTCCAGTTAATGGAAATGTATATGAACTTCTCAATATACTATATGTATATTGTTGTATTGTGTATAAGTATAATAAGATAGAATAAAATAAAGTTTTTTTTTGCTATTCATTTCTAATAGTGAATAAAAATTTTTTTAATTTATAATCTAAAACTAAGAAAAAATATTATAATTGATAAAATATAATAAAATAATTGAAAAAAAAATTAAAACTTCAAAATCCTTAATTATTTCAAAAATTAATTTTAAACTATATATATGAAATTTGGAAGATTACCAACAAGTTTTTTTCACTATTAGAAAATAAGCATATAATTTTCATTCTACTTTAATGTATATCCATTTAACAACGATCATAAAATATATTGACTTTGATGCGACATTCACGGATATAATACACATCATTCCTCTATAGACACATACAAATATTCATGATACATTTACAACAAAATATATTACTTTTCATTTCATTAACTATACATACATATATATACGTATGTAAATATACCCTGTTTTTGAAAAATTTTTATTCTCCATAAAAATGCTGGGATTAACAAAAATAATTCTGATAATGGAAGTTACACTGATGATAAATAATTTTAAAAAGTAATAATTTTTAAAATTATAACATAATTTATTTCAATAATGTATTTTTAGGGAATGTGTTGTTATTCGTTGTATTCGTTGTTGTTATTTCTAGATTTCTTTGATTTTTGGCACTTATTTATTTTAACTTGATTGAGATTCTAAAATTTAAATAAATGCAAATAAAAAAATAATTTATTCATTTGAAATTAATTTATCATCTGTATAACTTCCTTTGTTGATCCTTCATCATCTGAGACATATATTTAGAATATAAAATGCATTCAATCAAGATTCCAAATAATTGGAGGAAAAAAAAGGGAAAAAAAGATATATATCACATTTGCATTAATTTCTGAATTTTTATAACATTATCAAATAAACTAACATTTAAAACACTTTATTAAATATTATATTGATTATCTTCTATTAATTAATTAATTGTTTGTATTCTTGGATTCATGTTATTCATTATGAATTTTTTTAATATTTCAAATTTTTTGAATTTTTTTGAATTTTTCTTCCAGAACTTAAAATGTATAAATTATTATAAATTTATTTATATTGCGATATAAGCACTTTTTCTATTAAACTAATCAATTATAAATATGTTTTGTACTTTTATAAATCATATTAAACAGCTATCGTCTTTTTTTCACGTCAATTTCAAATTCAAACGATGAGTGGACAGACTTTATACAAAATTTTTATACATATGTATATACGATATAGGAGACACATAAAATGGCCCTTTGCAAGGTATAAATATCAATATCGATCGAAAAATAGTAAAATAAAAGTATTGATTATAAATAAATAACGGAAGTAGTGATTCGTTATTATGATATTTTCAGTATAAACTGGACGGATGTGTTATGAAAACACAACACAGAGAAAATTTTTATATTATGGTATATAAAAATCATATATAAAATAATATTGAATTTTTAAATAATTGAATTTTTTCTTTTCTCAAATATAAATGATATTTTTTAAATCATACTTATAATATTATATCATTAAATTAGCAATTAATTTATATTTTTTTAATATACTTAAAAATTAATTATTTAACGAAATTTTTAATGATAAAAGTTTAAAACTCGTATAAATTTGATATATTGTAATGAAAATTTTTAATTCAATTATCAAATCTCGATGAAAAATCCATGTTTCATTTACAATGGAAAGAAAAAGAAAAAAAAATAACATAAATTTGAAAAATAAATTTTAAAAGTTTTAATCTTTTTATATCAAATAAAAAAGAAGAGAGATTTACAAAATCCGTCCAATTCGTATTCTAACTATAACACTGCTCCCTAGACGGAATATTTTTTGTACAACTCACTTGTATAAAAATATGAAATCCTTCGTGTCCATTGCAATTACAAGCGAAATTACAAAATTACATCGTTTCGACAACGATTATTAAATATTTAGGTCCCTTGATTCCCCACCTATTTTTCCTATCGAATATTTCTTCCAACTTCCATAATAAATAAATTTCAACACGAATACATATAGGACCAATAATAGGTCCCCACCTATTTTTCCTATCGAATATTTCTTCCAACTTCCATAATAAATAAATTTCAACACGAATACATATTCAATTTATTTAATTCTGCGATGATCTCTGTTGTTGATTCGAGGCTGATTCCATCTCGTTGTACAACATATCCGTTTGATGCGGACACATCTGGAAAGGCACGAGATCAGGCTGGTTGCCATTCTGTTGAGTTGGTCCTTGTTGTTGGGATTGTTGCTGCAGATGCTGCAGTTGTTGATGTGACTGTTGTTGAGGTTGAATCATCGTGTCTACGTTACCTTGAGCTGAACCAGACATTGTTGGCACTGGACTCACTGCTAACGAATGCGAAAAGAATTCTATAGGCACTATAGGCATTGGAACGGTGATGGGAAGAGGAAGAACGTTCACTCCATGCACACTACTTGATGTTGGTAATTGAACGTTCGAGTTGGTCGTATTGCATCTGTTCATTTGTTGACATGTATTGGTGGCATTGTATGGCATTCCTGTCTGAAAATTGATTTATCAAATGGATTGTATCTTTATGATACAATGCAGTATAATATAAGAAACATTGTTGTATTGTGAATTGGATAGTAGATCTGATAAATTTTTGTAATAAAATTATCAAAGTAATTAATAAATTAGGATGAGTATAGAATTAGGTTTTTATAATAGAATTATGAAATTATTAATTGAGATTTGTTAAGTTTATATTATTATTGAAAAAAATTTATGAATAAATTAGCTAAACTCACATTGAGTGATAAAATTCCATATTTAAGTAACTGTTCCGATACTTTTCTCAGTTCTTCTTGTTGATGCATTATTAATTGTTGCAGTTCTTCATGTTTTCGTTGCAGTTCATCTTGAATTTGATTCTGCGCTGGTGTCATTACGATATTTTGCTGATGTAACATCTGAAATTACACGTACTCTTGAAACAAAAGAGAAAAATGTAACGTGTTATTTCTAAGATTCAATTATATACTCTAATAAAAAATAAAAAATTAAAAACATTTGTAGAAAAAAAATCTATTTTAAAAATATCATAAAATATGTTATTACCTCTTGCGTTGGTAGTGTAGATATAATCGGCACGGAAGGAGTCTCAAAATCTGTGTTGACAGATTGCAAATTAACTCCTGCATATTGTGAATGTTCCATGAAATTAATACAACTTTGATCCACTTCCAATAAAGATTGTTGAGATTGCTGTTGTTGTTGTTGCTGCTGATGCCTAGTGTCTATTTGAAGCATTTGAGTCTTCGATGTAACAGAACTGTTTGCAGATGTACCTTTTGAACGTGAAATATGCGTTATTTGCGAATGAGGTGAACTTTGCATAGAGGCTGATATTGACGAACTGTCAGAGCTTTCGACATGATGTCTTGGTCGAGTGTTCGATGGTATCGATTTCGATGTTTTGGACGATTTTGTTGGCCACTGTGTCGGAGGGATTGGACATGATGTCGTTACCTGAACATTAATGCATTTGAATTAATGAATATTACACAAAATTCGATGATATGCAATTAATAACTGATGCTTGCTTGTAATTTGTATAATTAATTTTTTATTTCTAGATTTACCTGTTCTTGCTTTACTGACATTATAACATCTTGAGTTTGTTCTTTGTTAAAACTCTGTGATTCTTTGCGCAATTCTTTGATTACATCGATATAACTGACGACATAATGCGTGCACACGATAAATTCAGGCTTCGAGTTCCACTGATTATATGTAATATAGAATCTAGTTTGCAACCATATCCATTGTTGTCCCTTCGTAAGGAATCTGTAGTAACAGGAAGTTCCTTCACCCTTTTGCATTACTATAAATAAATTTTTTGTTATTTCGGTGTATCGGTACATTTTTTTACTTTTCCATTAATACATACATGATTCATGACATGTAACCACTTTGTCTAAATCGTCTACGTGATAATAATCGTATCCAGAAGTACCCAATACCTCGAATGGTAGATAACCGATAATGGGTGGTGCTCGATGATCCAGAAACAAGAATTTCCATTCGAGACTATGACGTGAGGTGAATTCCGATTTCATATTGTCCATCACGGATAATTCGCGGATCAATTGAGGCGTCTGGAGGCGTCCTGTACCCACGAAAACCAATCTAAGAAGACACAAATGAATTTATTGTAACGCGATTCGATTAATAACATAAGTTTTATTGATAAATCGTTAATAATATTAAAAATAATGATTATTAAAATAAACTTATTATTAATTTTTAAATATAATTAGTAATACTAATTTCTTTATAAAATAGAGACTAAGTTCTAAAAATTGTGATAGAAAAAAAGATGAATTATTTTCTTTTATCTTATATCACAATTTATATGATATATTTTTAATATTAATTAGTATTTAGTATTAGTATTTAGTATTAGTATTTAATGATTTATGAACAATAGTATATATATTTTATTATCTAATATAAAGAAATTACTTTGTATCTTTTCCAGTAGTATTTCCGAATTTTGTATTAGGAAGCAGATTATCCACTTCTGTATCGACATCAGAACCTATAATTAAATATTAGATAATAATATCAATATTAATAGAAAAATTGTATAAACAATTGTCAATTACATACGAAAATATCCGACAAATTGCACAAGCTCGTATATTGGGTTTTCTTCAATATTTTGTCCTCCTCTTTTAATGTGACACGAAAAAGATATTTTGTCCTCTGTAAATATAAATATAAGTAATATTTATAATATAATTAATTTTCTATTTCTTTTTCAAAGATTTACCTTCTCTGATGTTCCGTCGATCTTTCGTGATGGCAGGATTTAATAGTACATTGTAAAGAGGAGATTGGTCTTCTTGATACGTAATATCGTAAACGGTGGTATTTTCCAATTCGTTTGGAAGATATCCGAGAAGAGATGTGACGCTTTCAGATACATAATAAATGCGTCCGCTTGAAGAAAATACCATTATAAAACCGTCCAAAGCCTACATTCAAGAAATGTTATTCATGTTTTTAATAATAAAAAAACCTTGAATCAACATAACATCGAGATTCGTTCCATATTGATCAATGCTAGTAATTTTAGAAATTTTTATTTAAGCTTGAAATCATTTTGATCACTCAAAGCATGAATTTCTATTTATTTCATTATTATAATATTTATTAATGGTCACTTTGAAAAAATTAATGCTCAAATCAATCAATTGATAAATTGTTATTTATCACATACAATATATTATTAATTGTTATAATGATGTTATTTGTAATTTTTCTAAACTACAATAATTAAAAATACAATCTCAAGCTTATAGTCAACAAACATAACATTTTAAATTGAATGCAACTTTGCATATAATAATCGAATTTAATAATATAATTAATTTAATAATTAATTAATGTGATAAACATACTTCTAATATTAAATGTGTAAATTCTTCGTTTGATAGAAAAGATGGCTTCCAATCTTCTTGAATTTCATGCACTCTTGATCTAACAGCTATCTCTGTATCATTTTAAACTTCAGAATTAATAATAAATCAAAAAAATAATATAATTATAATAACATAATATACAAATAATATAAATAACATTATAAATTATAAGAAAAACAAACTTTCAAAATTGAAACTGAAACTTTTTTTTAGAAATCTCTTTTTTTAATATTAGATATAGATATTAATAATATTAATATCTATAAAAATTTAATATTAGATATTAATTAGGTATAATCCTGATCAATCAGACTAATATTGAATATAATCTCTTTCACTTATAGTTCACACTAAAAATTTCAGTAAAATAAAAATAATATACCATTATGATTTTTTAAAAATAATATTGTCGACTTTAGCACCGTCGATTTATCCATTTTTCTTGTATTTGAGCTGACCATACTTCCAAGCTCATTTACGAGCATGTTAAATTGATCTCTTCGTTTCTTTTCACTCAGATTACGCGATTTCCTGAAAAAAAAAGAGAAAAGA